GGAGGGACTTGAAGTGTGGGCGTGGCCGGTCTAACGCCTGAGTGGCTGTAGTGGGACAAGAGCGTGGACGTCCTCCAACCCCGGGGATCCATCGCTGAGGGCGTCCCCATAAAACCTCCCACTCGCCGTCAGCTCGGGGCAGCTGGACTTGTCCGTGCCAGTCTGCCGTCACTGCTCCTCCTGTATTGTTCTGTTCCCTTACGTTGTCACTTTGTAATTTTGAGCTTTGTATAGTGACTTTCGTTTTGTATTATCAATATTCTTATTATTTCTGTATTCCTCCTTCGTTTCCAAATTCATTTTATTTTCTGTCATCATTAAAAACTTACTTTAAAATGGACAAATACCAATTCCATCTGGTTTTTTGCTACGTTCTTACTCCCTAGCTGAGCCGGACGTAACACTGGCATTTCCCACATGGGCGTTGAAGTCCCCCAGGAGAATAGCAGAGTCCCCGGGCGGTGCACCGTCCAGTACCCCTCCCAAGGACTCCAAGAAGGCCGGGTACTCTGCACTGCTGTTAGGCCCGTAGGCACAAGACTTGTCCCCCACCCGGAGGCCGTGGGACGCGACCCTCTCATTCATCGGGGAGAACTCCAACACATGGAGCTGAGATGGGGGGCAATGAGAATGGCCACCCCCGCTCGCCGCAACTCTCCGCGAGAAACACCAGAAAAGTGGAGCGTCCAACCCCTCTCAACCCCTGGCGCTAAAGAGCTCTTGGGTGTAGGACAGAACGGTTGGGAACTACATTTATTCCAACAGTTGTGAAGCACCTTAATAGTACATAGCACTTTGTACAAACTTTAGCACTTTACAGCACATTTGTACTGATTATTAGCTTTGTGACAATCTCTCTTGTTCTGGGTTTCTTCAATGTTGTGATTTTACTGTGTCTGCCTGTTTTTAGATGATTGGGCCTCATTCACGAATAACTTCGTAAGAAACTACTCAACTTTCTTCTCAAGTTGTCCTTAAGTAGATTTCTAAGAAGTCCCCACGTGGGATTCATCAACGCACTCGTAAGCCGCTGAATTGTTCGCAGCTGTTCTCTCAGATTGATGAATCCCATTTCCTCGTAAGTACAGCGCGCGTGCCAGGTGCTTCATTAGCATAGGTACTTAGCATAAGTAACCACCCACTAATGCCCATATAAGGGACTGCAGGGCCGTGTGCAGACGGCAGAGGAAACAGCAACAGGCCTAAAGCAAAGAGTTACACGGAGCAAAAGAGTCACCCTTTTTTCTTCTTTTACCAGACTGAGAATAAAGTTATAAAATGTTGACTTAAAAGTCGAAATATTATGATAATAAAGTCGAACTAGCAAAATTATGAGATTAATCTAAGAATATGATGAGATTAAAATCCTACTCTTAACATATAAAGCCATAAATGGCTTGGCTCCCTCTTATCTCCAAGACACGTTAGTGTCGTATCAACCAAGTCGAGCGTTGCGCTCACAAAACGCCAGACGTCTGGTGGTCCCTAAGGTCTCAAAAATCACTGTTGGTGGCAGAGCATTTAGCTCCAAGCTCCTTTACTGTGGAATCAGCTTCCCATTTATGTTAAGGAAGCAGATACGGTCTCCACATTCAAGGCCAGGCTTAAAGCACTTTACTTTAATTTAGCATATAATTAGGTAATATATAATATGTAGTGTATATATTATATATATATGCTGTATTATGTTATATATTATGTTATATATTATTCAATAATGTATTGTGTTATGTTGTATATTATGTTATATATTATGCTGTATGTTATTCTTTATTCAAGGCTAGGTTTAAAACAGTCCTCTTTAGTTTAGCATATGGCTAGGAAGGTAAGACTCGGAGAAGGTTAAACTCCTCAGAGTGTTAGTCAAGCTGCATAGGGAGTCAGTTTGCTGGGAGAAGTATGGTAACTTGAGCACTATCCTCTCCTCCTTCCTACTTTATCTGTTTAGCATTATTAGGATTTTGACTGTAGTTTGTTCATTGCTATTCACCCGTTGTCCCATTGTCTGTTTCATGGTACGATGACGGGATCTCTGAGCCTGGCCTCTTCCGTCTACACCTGCGGACTGCCCCGCCCGACCCGCCTGGGAGTGCTTCAGTCCTGCACCGGACCTGTCCACGTTCAGCGTCCACTGGTCCACGTTCTGTAGCTAGCTTAGGTCCTAGATCATTAGCCTGTCCGTCCGGAGGAGCCGATCCCTTTCTCATATGGGTCTCCCTCCCTGTGGGTTTCCCTAGTTCTCCTCCAAGGTTTCTCACTTTTTCCCACTGGGTTTTTTAAGAGTTGTTCCTTGTCGATGCAGGAGGGTCTTGTTGGACAGTTAGTGTCCAACAGAAAGGATTGGTGATGATCAGGACACTTTAGCATTCTACAACATGTATGGACATTTTCTTCTGTGTGTGCTTTATATTCTTCATGTGTTTTAACTGTTGATTCTCTGACCTGTGTTGGTGATTTCAATGGTTTTGTTAAGTCCTCTGAGATGACTTCTGTTGTGACCTAGGGCTATACAAGAATAAATTGTATTGTATTGTATTGTAATCTCAAAATGTTATGAGCTTAATTTAAAAATATATTATGTATTATTTTAAAGATGAATCTCAAAATGTTTTGAGATTAATCTCAAAATATTTTGGACCCTGGGAGGAGATCCAGCGCGGACCAGCGCTGAGACCAATGCAGACCCGAGGAGAGACTGGAGTGACCAGCACACAGAAACCAGCGCGGACAGGAGAGACCGCATAGACTGGAGTGGCCTGACTGGAGAGACCGGTGCGCAGAGACCAGCGCGGACCGAAGATAGACCGCATAGACCAGACTTGAGAGACCAGCGCGGGATCCAGGAGCATGCAGCACGGACCCGTATGGAGAGAGACCAGTGCAGACCCGTATATGGGAGAGACCAGTGCAGACCCGTCTAGATCCATGGGAGAGAACAGTGCAGACCCGTATAGATCCATGGGAGAGACCAGTGCAGACCAGTATAGATCCATGGGAGAGACCAGTGCAGACCCGTATATGGGAGAGACCAGTGCAGACCCGTATAGATCCATGGGAGAGACCAGTGCAGACCCGTATAGATCCATGGGAGAGACCAGTGCAGACCAGTATAGATCCATGGGAGAGACCAGTGCAGACCCGTCTAGATCCATGGGAGAGACCAGTGCAGACCAGTATAGATCCATGGGAGAGACCAGTGCAGACCAGTATAGATCCATGGGAGAGACCAGTGCAGACCAGTATAGATCCATGGGAGAGACCAGTGCAGACCCGTGTAGATCCATAGGAGAGACCAGTGCAGACCCGTATAGATCCATAGGAGAGACCAGCGCAGAGACTCAGCGCGGACCCAGTAACCTCCTGCAGCAGCAGTATATATGCCGTTGTTCTGTGGCCCGTGGATAAAGAAATGCCCCCTATAAATAGGAAGGGGTCACTAATACACGGCAAGATTTCCAATGTATTTGATAAAGCGTTGGCACATTTCATTTCAAAATGAATTAAAAAGTAGGCCAGATCTGCAGTGAAAAAGGCGGTATATAAATAAATAAAGATTACTAATAAAGATTACTACAAATAAATAAATACATACATCGATATGACGGACATATCACTGGAATGTTGTATTTTTATTCAACTTCACCAAAGAGGACAACCCCGGCGTGTGAACATGTCGGCACTGAATGCGTACGAGTGCTCCTGAGGACTCGTAGGATTTGTACTTGCCCAAGAGAAATTCTGGTTACGAGAAATATTCGTGAATGCCACTTTCTTTGTAAAAACCGCGTAAGTAGGATTTACGTACAAATCTGTTCCTAAGAACCGTTCGTGAATGAGGCCCATTGTTTGCTGAAAAACCAATTTCCCGCAGTGGGACCATAAAGATAACCTAAACTTCCTGCTGTCCCCGAAGTCGTCTTCAGCCTCTCTCTCCTCTCTTCCCTCTCATCACCAGTGCTCATTCACACAAATGCCGTATTTCAGTTTCGTGCCGTCACTAAATCATACCAGTACTGACTAGAGCTAACTCAAACATGCTCCATGAGAATTAGAGCTAACTCAAACAGGCTCCATGAGGATTAGAGCTAACTCAAACAGGCTGATTGGTCAGTTGCGAGGGATTTGGATTTACAAATATTTATATTGAAATATAAATCATGACCATAACAGAAAGTGCTAAAACCACAGATTTTAACACCAAGACTCCCAGAAAGATAAAATAATAATGAATAATAATGCATCAGTTTTATAGAGTCTCATTATTCATTCACTCCAGTGGTGATAAACTACTACTGTAGCCACAGCTGCCCTGGGGCACACTGACAGAAGCGAGGCAACCAGTCTGTGCCATCAGCCCCTCCCACCACCACCAACCATTCACACACACACCAGACTCATTCTAATGAGAGTGAAGTGTCTTGCCTAAGGACATAACCACAGCCGCCCCACTGTGGCACCTGCTGTTCCCAGAGGTCTCCCATCACTGCACTGACCAGCTCCTGCCCTGCTTATTCTCTGAGATCTGACGGGATCTGGCTTTCACCTTCAGGTATTGCCACAAAACTATTCACAGAATCGTCATTTTGACTGCTCCCATTCAAACCAATGGGATTTTGAATTAATACCACCTAAACGTATATATATATATATATATATATATATATATATATATATATATATATATATATATATATATATCTCATGTATATAAATATATATATATATATATCTCATGTATATAACTAATATATATATATATATATATAGTTATATACATGAGATACATGAGATATATATATATATATATATATATATATATATATAGTTATAGTTATATACATGAGATATATGGATATAGTTACAGCTAGCTTAGAGACACAGCAGCTTCTTATATTGTGTATTCATCTCCCTGCGTCTCCTGCTGTCCTGTCTGTGTGCTGCAACAGTGAAATTCTAATGTGAGGGAATCGCTCAATGGAAACAGCTGCACACCTCCGCGCATGCGTGCTTCGGGGTCAGTGTTTGCCCTGCGCAGGCTCAGTGCGCATGCGTGTTTCAGACCAGGAAAGAGCGGACGGCGCCACAGCTGCCCCGGATCCACGCGTCTCTTTTGTCTGAAGAAACTTCCAGCGCGAACCTCGTCAATGTCGACGGTGCTTTTACTGAGAGCCGCCGTGAAGGAGCGTCTGTCTGCGGCCGTGGAGGAGGTCTGCGCCCTGGTGGAGAGGAGCATAGCGGAGTATGAGGAGGAGCTGAGGAGGAGCATACAGAACCAGAGGAACATCGCGGAGTATGAGGGGGAGGAGGTGAGAGGCTGGGACCAGGAGGAGCAGGAGGAGGAGCAGAGGAGGAGAGAGGAGCGGCTGGAGGCGCTGCTCTGGCCCGCAGGAGGAGCAGCAGGAGGAGCAGCAGGAGGAGCAGCAGGAGGTGAGGCTGGATCTGTGAAACTCTGAGAAACGTCATCTTCAGACTCCACAAAGAAAAGCTCCAGATTGACTCATTATAATAACACGAGAACTCTCAGAGCAGTCAATTTGACGGTTTTACTTTTGTAAATATAATTACTCAGTTATTCATGAGGATGTTTAACTTTACTACTGAGTGACAAAACTGGTGACTAAGCACTGACTCTTCTCTGGTAGAACCAAACCTGACCAAAACCAGTTCAGAACCAGAACCCGTCCTTTACCATCCCAGAACCAAATCCACTGAAACTGGCCTCATGTAACTTTACTCTGGATGAAAGTAGTGACAAAGAAACAAGCTCTAAATAGAAACAGAATAGAGCCGGAAGTTCTACGTTGACTCAAATTCACTTTTAGTCATTTCTTGTTTGGTAAAGAACTTTTAATGAAGGCTAAAGCCCCTTTTCCTGGTGCTCGTTACCATAGCAACACGTGTTTATTTGCAGTTAGCATTTGGTCTTTAGCCTTTCAACAAACCTCTAAACAAAGTAATCTGGCAGTTCTTATTCACCAGTTTTATCTCTGAACCAAAGTAAAAGCAGTCTAATAACTGAGTTTTAATAAATCCGGTGGAAAACTCAACATTTTTGGGGCAAATTCACAGAATTCTATTTGTTTCAATGGGAGCAGTCAAAAGGACAGCTCTGGGAGTTCTCATTGTTCCAGAATTCTGGGATTTCTTTGAAGTAAAATCATCAGAGTGAAATAAAACTCTGAACCTCGGCCCTGAGCAGAGATCCTGGTTTTCCAAGTGGGAAATGTGTTCAATTGAACTACATTTGATTTACTTTTGTATCGTTCTAAATCACAACAAAAGTTCTCTCCACAGACTTCACTAAACTGTTGATTCTCCAACTCAGATCAGAGAATCAAACCGTTCAGACTCAGGAAGGAGTAGAAAAGCATCTTGTTCCTCGTCTCTGACTGTCAGATTTAGACGCTGCTGAAGTTATTTCACAGTAAATCCCTAAAGTCTGTAAAGGACCCCGCTGCGCACATAGCCGCCCTCGCGTCCGCCTGTTTACAAATCGCTTTTGGTGAAAATGTGACTTTGTAATTATGTTCCACTGTAGCACGATGTCCACGGCCTGAAAGGAGACTCTCACTTTGGTCTTGGAAAAATGTATTCTTTCTTTCAATGAAAAGGTTTGAAACTCCGGCCTCAGACACTTCTGCGTCTGCGATGGATTCAGAGGAGGCTTCACATGAACGGACTCGACCAGCACTGAGCGTTCTGCTCTCTGAACCCGGCCCCAGGCTTTAGTGATCATAAAGATTGTACAAATATATAAAGTTTAAAAAAGCATTATGTGAGCGCAAGCGGCAATGAAAGGCCCTCGCCAAACTGTGCCGCGCAGCGCAGCCATCTGACGACGTTCTGGTGTCATGTGTCAGACCCATCACAATGCTAACGCTAGCTCAGTGACGCTCAATAGGGAAGTGCTCATGGACCCGGGCTGGCTCCTATCGACTCACATGGAAAAGTAAACAGAAACGTTTGTGTCACACTCTTCTTTTTGGGTTAAAAAACCTGTGGTTTCTCTGTGATCCAGGGGTTTATTTTGTGATATTTCTTTGTAAATCCAGATATGAGCCATATTAGGATGAACCAATCAGATACTTAATTCGCGGGGGAAACTCCCGCTAGCTACACGCCTGGCCTGGTTATGGCGTAAAGCTATCGCCGCAAAACCCATATAAGGAAACTGGCTCCAGCTAGCTTACGTAGCATGTGTTTAAACTAGCTTCTTCTGTATTGAAGCTCATTCATGTTCACTGTAGGGGGCGCTGACGTGCTTCACCTCGGCCCTGGGGAATCCTGGAGATGCTTAATTATATTTTATGACTCTGGAAAAACAAACAACAAATGATCTGTTGAGACGTCTCTCGTGAGCGTTAGTGAAGCAGTGACAAATGTGACAAACTCTGATGAAAACAGTCGATCAGCGTCAAAGCAGAAAGGTTTTCACACCGACTCCGGGGTCATTCTGACGATCTCAGACGGCGGTGATTTAGACTCGGACGTTCCAGCAGGTTCCACTGAAGCTTTGAGGTACAATACAATACAATTTATTCTTGTATAGCCCTAGGTCAACAGAAGTCATCTCAGAGACTTAACAAAACCATTGAAATCACCAACACAGGTCAGAGAATCAACAGTTAAATTACATGAAGAATATAAAGCACACACAGAAGAAAATGTCCATACATGTTGTAGAATGCTAAAGTGTCCTGATCATCACCAATCCTTTCTGTTGGACAGGAACTGTCCAACAAGACCCTCCTGCATCCACAAGGAAAAACTCTTAAAAAACCCAGTGGGAAAAAGTGAGAAACCTTGGGGAGCACTAGGGAAACCCACAGGGAGGGAGACCCATATGAGAAAGGGATCCGCTCCTCCGGACGGACAGGCTAATGATCTAGGACCTAAGCTAGCTACAGAACGTGGACCAGTGGACGCTGAACGTGGACCAGTCCGGTGCAGGACTGAAGCACTCCCAGGCGGGTCGGGCGGGGCAGTCCGCAGGTGTAGATGGAAGAGGCCAGGCTCAGAGATCCCGTCATCGTACCATGAAACAGACAATGGGACAACGGGTGAATAGCAATGAACAAACTACTGAAGAAGATGACAAAGTCTGGGATCGCGTCTTTAATTCAGACAGAAGACATGTTTTATTGTCGATGGTAGAGACAGCACAATCAAGGCACACGATCACAGAAACAACAGAATGCAAGTGTATTATACAGAGCGGAGGCATGGAGACCTCCAATCAACAGCTTCCACGGTGTGCTTGTAGCTTGGCCTTCAGATAGACAAAACAAGGGAAAAGTACTGGCTTCTGCACATTGATAGATTGATGAGTTTAACTTTAACAAAAGTTGCTTCAAAGTGTTATGAAATCTCACATTCCCCCCTCTGGTCATACATTCACGTGTGACCATCAGGATCGATAAACAGCAACATAACATCATAACTCAATACTTCAAAAACTCAAACTCGGTACCTCAAAAAACTCAGAACTCGGAATACTTCAAAAACTCATAAAACATGTTCAGATCTTTCATAAAACTTGTCAACAATCTTCAGTAAAATACCAAACTTCATCAGTCGATGGTGGTTCCAGATATTGCTTTGAAAACAGTCTCTCCCACTTCTCTGTGTTGGTTTCTTCAGCTGCATTTCTTGTGTCGAGCCATGAATTCTTCTGTGACGTGTCTTTCAATCACACGTTTCAGCTTTAGTGTCCAGATTCAGCAATTCAATTCAGTCCAAATTATGTCCAAATTGTGTAATCCAATTTTTCCAAATGGTGTCCATGCAAAAGAGGACGCTGTCCATGTCTCAGCAGCTCACAGCCTGACTGGAATCAGGGGCTGTGCAGATTGTCCAAGTGTGCTGGTCCAGATGCATGGTTTCTCTTGAGGTTTTTCAGTTTTGGCTTAAAAAAAACACTTTTTGTGTAAAAAAAAAAGTAGTCTTCTGTTCTCTAGATGTTACAGACAATGCCCGCATTCTCCACCACCTGAAGAAGATGGCATAGTCTGGGATCGCGTCTTTAATTCAGACAGAAGACATGTTTTATTGTCGATGGTAGAGACAGCACAATCAAGGCACACGATCACAGATACAATAGAATGCAAGTGTATTATACAGAGCGGAGGCATGGAAACCTCCAATCAGCAGCTGCCACGGTGCCATGTAGCTTGGCCTTCAGATAGACAAAACAAGGGAAAAGTACTGGCTTCTGCACATTGATAGATTGATGAGTTTAACTTTAACAAAAGTTGCTTCAAAGTGTTATGAAATCTCACACTACAGTCAAAATCCAAAAAATGCTTAACAGATAAAGTAGGAAGGAGGAGAGGATAGTGCTCAAGTTACCATACTTCTCCAGCAGGGGGCTCCCTATGCAGCTCGACTGACAGTCTGAGGAGTTTAGCCTTCCCTGAGTCTTACCTTCCTAGCCATATGCTAAACTAAAGAGGACTGTTTTAAACTTAGCCTTGAATAAAGAGAGCGTATCTGAAAGGAGGTGAGACAGCAGCAGCCACGGCTAGGCTAGCCCAGGTTACAGCACCAAGATTCATGGATTGCACACCAAGTGTGCCAAACCGATCCAGGCAAACAGCCTAATTATATGCTATATTAAAGTAGAGTGCTTTAAGCCTGGCCTTGAATGTGGAGACCGTATCTGCTTCCTTAACATAAATTAAGCTGATTCCACAGTAAAGGAGCTTGGAGCTAAATGCTCTGCCGCCAACAGTGACCTTTGAGACCTTAGGAACCACCAGACGTCTGGCGTTTTGACTTGGTTGATACGACACTAACGTGTCTTGGAGATAAGAAGGAGCCAAGCCATTTATGGCTTTATATGTTAAGAGAAGGATTTTAAACTTTATTCTGTACTCCACAGGGAGCCAGTGGAGTGATTTTAACACCGGAGTTATGTGCTCCCTCCTTTTGGTACCTGTTAAGATCCTAGCTGCTGTATTCTCAACGAGCTGGAAGCTCTTCAAAGAGGTTTTAGGGCACGCTGCCAGTAAAGCGTTACAGTAGTCAAGCCTTGAGGTGACAAAAGCGTGAATAAGTTTTTCCGCGTCACTTTTAGGAAGGAAATTCCTAATTTTAGCGATGTTCCGTAAGTGGAAGTACGCCGTTTTAGTTGCTTGGCTTATATAAGCCTTGAAGGGGAGTTCTTGGTCAAAAATGACTCCAAGATTCCTCACAGTGTTACTGGGTATAATACTGACATTATCGAGAGTAATTATCTGGTTAGTGAGGGAGTCATGCAGGCGCTTCGGACCGAGTAGGATCACTTCTGTCTTCTCCGGGTTGAGAAGTAGGAAGTTAAGAGTCATCCACGTTTTAAGGTCCTTTATGCAGGCACTGAGCTTTTCTAGCTGATCTGTCTGATTTGGCTTCATCGACAGATAAAGCTGTGTGTCATCTGCAGCAGTGGA